GGAACTTTTGTGCCCAGTTCATAAATTCTTTAGGGTTTTTAGATAAATCTTCACCTGCGAATTGTGTTAGCATTTTTTTCGCTAAACGCACATTAGGTATTTCAAAACTTCCCCATAATGTGCTCACACCTGATTTACAATAATCTAGAGAGAGTTGGCTTAAAATAGTAGTTTTACCGGATCCTGTGGGACCTGTAAAAATTGTCAATTCACCAGGTCTATGTCCTTTCAAAATTTGTGTCAATGCGGGCAAATCTTTTGAAGAGATTCCACAAACTTGGCCCGGGTTAATAACTTCTCTATATACAGCTTCTTTGAGATTGTCAAAATTTACAATTTGTTCATGCTGTAATGGCTTGGCTAGTGATAAAATTTCTTTCAAGTTCTTTCCCATAGCTAAAGCTTGACTTGCATTGATTGGTCCATAAAAATCATTACATCTTGTATTTACAATCAGACACCTATCAATTCCCAGTTTTTGAGCAAATTTCTCTGCAGCATCTTGACCTTGAACATCATCATTGAGCCAAATATATATTTTGGAAAATCTTTCCAGCAAAGGAAGAATTTCTATTGGCAATTGGTATCCATGATTAGGAAGACATGTGGCAGGTATTTGAACATCTTGATAAACAGCCATCGCGTCATATTCGCTTCCAGTCAAGATGATGGTTTCGCATTCCAACGGAACCAAATGGTAACCAAAAAGGCCAGAATAAACCAATGGTGGATCAAAGGTGACAAACTCATTATCTTCAACTGAACAAGCTTTAATTCGGGAAACCTTATATTTGTCTTGTTCTTGATCATCAAAACATGGTACCATTCTTGGAAATGTTATACATAACTCTTTTGCATCCTGACGTGATATCTTTGTTTCTTGATCAATAGAATCTGATGATTTAGGATTTATATTGCAATACATAGCAATTCCCACTTTGTAAGCAAGTAGTGTCGTTAAAGTTAAACCATGGTAATTTTCAAACTTTTCAATAACTTTAGGGTAATTTTGCAATTCATTTGAATACTGATCTATTTCTTCAAAACTTGACAAATAGG